TTTGTTTTCATCCGCTGTCTGATGCATTCCATTCAAAATTTAGCGCTAATTAGTTTTCGCCTCTTTTTTTGCTCGAAATTCAACTTCTTGGTAAATTTTGCACAGTAATTCTCCATTTTCTTCTAAGCTGCCACATTTTTGTTTCTTCAAGGCCACAATAAGGCTAAAGCACGCAACGTTTTGTTTCATTATAAGAATCAAGGCTAAAGTTGTGGGTTGAATGTTCCACGCAACATACGAAATTAAAGACGCAAAATTAACACTCAGGGCATTATAACGGGAGGTCATTCGCCCTAGCTGCAAAATTTTGTGACTAAGATAGCAGCTTTTGCATATTTCTGCTCGAATTTGTTTAAACACAGTTCGGTCGGTACAACATTTAGCGTTATTTAAATCTATCTGCATTTTTTATAGTGCAGTTTGGAAACTTTTGCAGAACATAACTCCTTTTTTATAGCTGGACTAAAATTTATTCTTGTGAAGTCTACTTTTACTTCTTTTTTTTTGTTCATTATTCTGGCAGTGCAGAAAGCAAGAGGACACTTACTCTATATTTGCTATTTTTAGAGCGCCTTTCCTTGTTCTGCTAGTTTGCTTGCAATTGACGCAATCTTTTTCAAAAATTAGAGGTGCTTCCAACTATTTTGGAGACAAAAATTTTTGAAAAAAACAGACACAGAATGCTCTGTTAGCGGTTATCGAATGGAAGATGCGAAACGAGCACTGACCAAAATGTTAACGACAGTGGTAGGATCCAAATCAGCTCCCCAAAGCGATAGATAGCCAGCAATACCGATATCCATGGAAACCATCGAGAAAACCACCCAGAAAACGATGGCGCTGTCAGCAATGAACAAGATACAGACAGTAATCATGGCCAGAATTGCGGCACCTAGTGACGAAAGTGTCGTCGACTGAAGTTCAAGCATCTGCAAATGTCTTCTGATGCTTGCGTAGACTAACAAACGTATGATTTTCAGCTCGATTTGCACACGAGTAATTTAGATTAAACGACATTTCGCCTATACACCGACCAAGGCTCTCGGGGATGTATAAGTTCATAAAACTTTGCTTCCCTTTGCAAATTAATCATCCGTAGGTTACTACATTCGCAAACTGGTGAATTTTGTCACTTCGCTTCTACTCCAACTTTTCGAATGAGCAGAAATGTTAACCAGTTTTGATATTCTTGATATATATATATGTATATATATATATATGCATTGCTTTACTGCTTAATATTTATAGAGATTGCTGTGCTTCCCGAGTTATCAGTTTTAGTGACAAAACTTTCACATCTGCGTGTGGGAGAGCTAGGCGCATATGGGAATAAATTTATACATGAGCAAATTACGGAACCGTAGGCGGGCAGGGAAAACTTTTCTAAAATTTTCGTTTTTTAGCTTTTTTTATTCCGAGTTATTAATTTGATGCCAAAACATTCATATGAGCGTACATGAAGCGTGAATATACGTGAGTGCTGACTTTTGTTTATGAAATCACAGCGAGCAAAGGATCCCCCTCAAAATTGCAGCTTCCTAGTTTTTCTGGCTCCCGAGTCGATAATCTAGGATAAAACGCACTCGGCATATAAAAACACACATATAGAGGCAGGGCCTCGACAATATGCATTTTGCGCAACTGCTGCAGCACAAACTCACAATAATTGGCCAAAACACGGTCTACCCGTGCGAAGATGCGTCTTTTGCATAGCTTCCCGCAGACTTTTGTCGCTAACGGCACTGGTTTTTTCGGCAGATGCTTCTAGCTAAAAGAATTTCATACTGACCGTCAGGACTGTTAGGAAACACCCCTTCAAAATTCCAGTCTTCTAGCTTCTCAGATTCCCGAGTTAGCGACTTACCCGAAAGAACTTTGGCGGGCCCGTACGTGGCTACCACCTTTACCCGGGGGCTGAGTTGAAGCTCATTAATACACACTTGGACGGGGGACATTCCCTTAAGATTTTAGCCTTCTAGCTTCTCAGATCCCCGAGCTAGCGACTTACCCGAAAAAAATTTTAGCGGGCCTGTACATGGGTACCACGCTTACCCGGGAGCTGGTCTTGAGCTCATCAATACCTACTTGGACGGAGAACGTCCACTCAAAATTTCAGCCTCTAGCATTTCTTGTTCTCGAATTAGGAGTTTAGCCGCAAAAAACTTTGGCGGGCTCGTACGTGGATACCACGCGGGTAAGAGCGGCCATTATGGGGATCGGAGCCCGTGCATGCATGTAAATTAAGTCCCGAAAATTTCAGCTCCATAGCTTTCGTAATTCTCGAAATGAAAAGTCGGTACAGGCGAACACACAGACACACGCACTGACAAACCCTCTCAATATGCGTTTTCTGCATTGCATAGCTGCAAAAAAACGCATAAAAATGCTGAAGGAACAAAAATATTTTGGCACAAAGTAGCCGACACTCTTGTTCCGTTAAAATAAATAAATAAGGTGAAATTTATTTGTATAAGAGAATTGGTTATAATTTTAAAAGGCTAAGAAAGGTTTAATTTAAAAAAAAAAAAACAATGGAAAAAGGAAACAAATGAAGGTGATCTAACTAGATGAAAGACAGA